CTCTTCTTAATGCACCCCAGGATCCCCTTGGCCTTCTTGGTCATGAGGGCACACTGCTGCCTCATGGTCAACTTGTCGTCCACCATGACACCCAGGTCCCTCTCTGCAGAGCTGCTCTCCAGAAGGTCGGTCCCCAGCCTGTACTGGTGTCTGGGGTTATTCCTCCCCAGGTGCAGAACCTTGCACTTGGCCTTGTTGAATTGCACGAGATTTTTCACCGCCCAGTTGTCCAGTCTGTCCAGGTCCCTCTGGATGCAGTGTAGCCCTCTGGCGTATCAGCTACTCCTCACAGTTTGGTATCATCAGCAAACTTGCTGAGGGAGCACTCTGTGCCTTCATCCAGGTCACTGATGAATAAATTGAACAGGACTTGGCTGAGGACTGACGGTCTTTTTTTTTGAAGGAAAATTGTGTTCAGGTAGTCATGAATTTCTGGTCACATGTTGTTGAAATTTTGTTCCTACCAAGCAAATAAATTCTGCAGTAATAGTGGAGTAGAACCAGATATCACTTAGCTCTGTCTTAAAGTAAGACATTATTTAAAAATTACTTTTTTTTAGTTTGGTCAGTGGTTCAGATGATCATTATATATAAGATTTTGGATAAAACCATAATATTCTGGAACTTTCTGTCACTAAAAAGTTAAATTTCAGGTAGCAATTATGTTTGATCCAAAATTTAGATACTGAGCATAAGTTCTGTGGAAGTAAGTGGCCGTGCTCACAAGTACAATGGAAGGCAAAGGATGGTTATGGAGGGCCTCTGATACCCTAAAGGTTGTTAGTCCCTTCTTTGGCATGTGAAAGATGCACACATGCCTGACTTTAAAGAGGCATTTGGACAGATAACTCCCACTTCAAGAACAGTAACCACATGGGACTGTAGGGAATTTGGATGTGGGTGATACTCATTATGTCCTGTTGAAGCTATTCAGTATCATATAACATAATGAAATAGCCATTATGGTATGGGGACTCAAGCACAAGTTTTTCCTGGTGAATGTCCAAAGCAATGAGCAATCGTTACCTTCCCTCTCTCTGATCTGCTATAAATATTTAAAGGTTTTGCATTTTGCCTTCTCTAGTGAGGCTTGGAATATATTTCTGCTATCTTCTAGATGTGTTCATATTCTAGTGGGATGTCTTACTGGAAGAAATCTTAGGGTAAAGGTTTGGAAAGTATTAGCTATATATCTATGTCTACTACCTAATATCTAGTACTACATGAAATATTTTATAAGAAGAGGACCAGACTTACCTATATTCTGCTTACTGAAATGAATTAGATACCATGTTTAAAATTAAAAATATGATTAGTTTTCACTTCTGAAAGCATTTTTGAAATTATACTAACCTTAAACATTTTTTTTCTTTTTTTTCACCCCTTTATAATAGATTTACTCCTGCCTACTTCTGAATCTGATTTAACCTCATCTGTGTACATTCCATCCCATGGAGATTTGATAGGCAAATCTCAGGTAATCCACATTGGCTCTGAGTGGAGAAATATCAGTCAATTCCTTGGGATTCCTTATGCAGCTCCTCCACTTGCAGAGAGACGGTTTAGTCCTCCGGAGCCATTTGCTTGGGTGGAAACCTGGAATGCTACTGTGGCTCGGTAAGGAAGTCCTTTGATCATTTGAAAGAAAAGTTTGTTTCTTACAAGCATGTGAATGTTACCAGAGTGATGACCAAGATATTCACATCCTTACTTGCAAAAGAGCCTGTGGTGTACAGATAAATGCAGTTTTGGGACTACAGGTTTCGCAAAAAGAATAATTTCTCTAAGACCTAATGCCTGCAGGTACTTCAAGGAAATAAGGCAGCTTTCTGGTACATTGTCTTAAATCTATGCATATTCTTCACATACCATCTACTCCCAATCTAAATATTTAATATTTAAATATTTAATTCTAAATATTTGTACAGGTACTTAAAATATTCATATTATAAACAGGACATAAAATAATTGGATACTGAATCAAAAAGGAATGCTTTAATTCTAATTTAAGCAGAAACTATGGGCGTTCTATAGAAATCTTCTGCCTTTTATGGTCTAGGAGGTCAGGCTGGAGGACTCAAAACGTCTTTTTCTGTCCAGAAACTCTTAAAATGCAAATATTTATTAAATGACTTAGAGAAAAATACAAAAATCCCAAACATTCTTGGTAATGCATTAAGAAGAAACAAGTGCTAGGGACTATATTACCATAAGGACTAAATTCCTCCTAAATCCCGATGTCTACTGTTTCCTACCGGCTGGCTTTGGTTCTTCACGGTGTGTAGACAGCATTGTGTTCAGCGAACTTGTCTTGGATGCACTCTGTTACCACTGCCTTTGTGTACATTTGCTGTGCTTCATTTAGGCTTATGAGTCTAATTTCCAGTTGACATGGAGAATCAAAATGGCAAATTATGAATGTGTATTTCTTAACTAAAGAGGATTTTGATGAGATTTCTGCTGTCAAACATATCAGGACTATGTTTATTCCCCCCACCCCAGTCAGTAAATAGAAATACAGCAACAAAAAGAATCGGGATGTTAAAGTGGAGTACTTTTTCTAGGGTCTTTCTCATGGTGCACCTTACTCCATGTCACAGAGGAACAAAAATGCACAAAACTAGTCTGCTGGAGCAAATCTACACACATACCCAGGAAGTCAATATGAGAAATAACCTGATCACATTCCTATAAGTAAAAAACAGACCATTTCTAGCATTTATGAAGAATGGCAAGGGAAGATGATAGAAACAATGAACAGGAGATTGAAGATGAAGAACAGTGAAAACAAGAGAACCAGGTGGAAGGACCCAGTCCAGGTGGCTTTCTAGAAATTAGGGCTGAGATCTGAGCTTGAGTGACTCAAATGCTTCCAAGGCATTTGATAGTGATCTGAGATCTTGTGCTGTCCTCCCAGCCACATCTGACTATATAGTCCCCAGGGACACAGTGCTGTCTGCACATCTATGAAGAGCCAGAAACAGCTAGCTGATCTGGCCAAAATGTATCCTGCTGGAGGATGTGCTAGATTTTTGCAGGAGAGGTGGGAAGCTGGCACCCTTCAGCTCTGACTTCACCCAGAGGGTGAAACTCCAGTATTTGGGATTTGTCACCATGAATTTCTAGCAAAGCCTGTGAAGAACTGATTTAAAAGATATGTGCTGTTGCCTGGGGGATTCAAAGAGCTTGTGCCTTTTGTTGGCTTCGTATTCCAGGTTGCACGTGAGTCATGGGCGCCTTAACTGCGTAACCACATTAGCTACACAGGCTGATGTATGTTGGAGGCACCTGGTGAGACGTGGCTGCTTGCTTCCTCAGAGGCACAGCAGTGTAAGGCTAACCCACCAGTGTCATCAGCTCTTTGTGTATGCACCCACAGCATGCTGGTTGTCAGACCCAACTGCCTCCAAGGTCTCTTTTTGAAGCCCTGGCTGATGTTGCAGTGAGGAACCTGGCTGAGTTTTTCAAAGCAGTTTAGTGATCTTAGTTATTCTGTTCATAGTTGTGAATTTTCAGTGATCTTTTATGCCAATGGTAAACTTATCCTTTATCTTTTATTATTCATTTGAGGTAAAAAAGCCTAGCATCAACGAGATGCACTTGGAAAATAAGAGGGGCTTCAGTCTCCATGTGTATAACAGATGTTGATGACTATATCTTTGAGGACTGTCTGTCTGTGTGGCACAATATTTGTATATACCAGAAGATCCCATTGCTACAGGGCCGTTACTGATAGAAGCTACTGCCTGTAGCTGCACAGGGATGTGGCTAAAACACTTCCCAAAATGTCTCTGGACAGAGCTGTGGCTTGTCTCAGCAGGTGGCAGCCTTTCGCTAGAGTCAGTCATGGTGCTAGGAGGCCTTGGGAGCTGGGATTCTTGAATTCTTGCTTTAATAAAATAATTTTTGTAAAGTAATTAAAAACTCCTATGCTCATTACAGATACCCCATGAAATGATGCATGGTTACTAAAATGACTTGAGCAGTGTCAGTTGGGGATTATGTGTTTCTCCTCTGCAGTGTGAAAGCTCTTGGGTGCTATTACCATCTGATGAGACTCTCTTTCAGAAATATCCTGTAGAATTGAACTAAAACTGGCCCTTTTCCTCCTCTTCCAAGACATTTTCTAAAATGTTCTTTACATTTTCATGTAAAATCTTATGAGGCAATTAAAAACAATAATTTAGGTATAATTCTGTAAGTTACTACTGCTGTTTCCATAGAATCTTATAAATTCCTACTGAAAAAAATTGTGATGCCTTCCATAATTCACAGTGCACTATAAATATGGCTGTGAAATAAATAGAACTTGCTTCAGAATAGCTTATATTTGAACAGCAAAAGGGAGCCACTTGGTTCTTGCTGTGGAGAGAGCTTGAGCATATGAATCCTATACAGATGATGGCCTAAAAAGATCTGTATGTGGTTGATTGAAAGGTTACTGTAATGTTGCTGGGCCTGGTTAGTGGTCTGCTATGTTGCTTAGAGCAAAAGAAATTAACACATTAAAATTTAAATCTGTATTTTTACATATATAACTCACTGTTCATTAGAAATTAAAATAAATGGCCTTTCAGAGCAAGAGCAGATTGTATAGGTGTGCAGGTGCTAGCAGGGGCAGACTGGTGCTCGAGTCACCCATGCTGCTCCCCTTCCCTCAGCAGAGCTTCTCCCTCTGCATCTAATTTTGTGCTGCGTGTGTAAAGTGAGAGTTATCTGAAGGCTTATCTTCGAGATCTAATCTTTTACTTTGTTAAAAAGGTGCTGGTTATCTGGAAGACTGATTATAGACAGAAAAATATATTGTGTTTTTTCGCATTGTGTATAAGGAACGTATTTCTTACTTAATAAACTAATAATTCTCAATGTGATTGAGATGTGCAGATTTAGATTCTATAAACTTTTTTTTTTTTTAAATAATGCTTCAAATAGCAGCAGTGGGAAAGGAACACAAGTTGTTTTTTTTGTTTAATTATCACAATCTGTGTCTCTAGGGCAGCTTGTTGGCAGCCAGGAGATGGAGAGGCCCCATCATATTCTGTTAGTGAAGACTGCTTATACCTGAATGTGTTTGTTCCCGTCACTACTGTAAGTAGGAAACAAGTAAAACTTCTTGTGGCTAAGCACTGCGTCATTTCAAAGTTGCTTTAATGAGCATGATTGAGTATTTTTCATGTGGTTGTCACCAAGCCCAGCCAGGTTAAATCATGCACTTGTTTTTACTAGTACAAGGTTATTCCGTATAGGTTCTTGCTGAGCGTTGTTTAGATAACTTGGGAGGTAGAACATTAAAAAGAGATGAAGAACAGATAAATAGAGGGAAGTGAAAATAACAAGGAAAAGGAGAAGAGATTAAGGTCAGAAGTGACATTACACCGTTTCCAGCAGCTGGTAATGGATGCAGCACAACTCATCACATTCACAGCTACCAGAAGTCAGGGTGCAGAGCAAAATTGAGGTGATTGCCCAAAGGGGAGACATGGAATAACATATGAAGAACACAGAGTACAGGAATAGGGTTTTTCAGTACATATTTACATTGATAACCATTGTCATCTTCTAAAAGTTATAGAAGAAACTTGTCTGTCACTTTGTATATCTGAAAATAGCTGCTGCTTTTCTTGAACTGACAGTAGTGCACATAGTCCCATTCAAACCCTTTTAAATCACCATAAAGGCCAACAGCCTATTTTCTCCATGCAGTACGAGACTGTCCTTTTAAGTTTAGTGCAATCATTGCTTATTGAAAACATCATGCCACTGTCCCAGGCAGTTTGCCATGTCCGTGTAAAGACAGCAGATGCTTATTTGAAAGCATTGTATTTTCTCCTATCGGATAGACAGAATGGACTTTTCTTTTCTTTCTTGGCAGTACTGTGGACTTAATTCTGTGTCTTTTGTTCAGGTGTAAATAGAAGTAGGTTTACTCAAGTCGATGAATTTAACATGTATAAGCGTAAGAGAGAACCAAAACTCCTGTTTTTGAAGAAGTAGCTGGGAACAGAAGGCATGGCATTTTCCGGTTTCTTTTTGTGGCAAGTCCTATTTTTAACTCACTTAAAGGGCTGTATTCATATATATTCAGCCCAAGGAAAGTTATATTAACAATTAAGTTCAAAATAAAAAATCTGCTGGAGAGCAGAGAAAGCAGAAGCTCAGAGAAAGCAGAGGCTTAGTTGGTAGCCTTCTAAGTCTGAATAAAAACACAACATGGGGACTACTACCTGCTATCGAAGGACTTTTTAACTGCCACGCATCAAAGAGGCTGAATGACATCACCTCATTTTGGTTCCATAGCTACGTGTACCACATAATCCTCCAAATAAAACTAGCGCTTCTGAAATATAATTTTTTTCTACCTATAACCATCACCACCTGTCACACTAGAGAAGGAAAGCTGAGTTTCAGCTTGATTTGCAAAAAATTCAAATGCAAGGTTAAGAGTTGACATTCTCTGCTAAATATGAGTGGAAAGTGTGCTTTTCTCCTATGCCCTGCACATGTTATTCCTATCCTTATTGTAAGGATTGGTAAGTAATCATCTCTATTGCACTTAATTCCTTGCAGACCAACATCACAGTGTTACAAGTGCTGGAAATTGCCTGGCTCAGTAAGAGTTAAAACTATCCCTGCCGAGTAACTCATTAAGTCTTTTAGAGAAAGATGGAGAAGATGATTGAGAACATGGTAGTGTCTTATGGATTGATGGCTTCTCAGTAGATGCCCATCTTCTCTCCCCTTGTGGGTCAGCATGTAGGATTGACCCACTACTAACTAGCTACTAAACTGCTGCAGTTGTTGGAGCTCAGAGTTGCTGCTGGGCTCCCCAGAAGAAATCGCCCTGCTTGGTTAGTCAGCAGGAGCTGCCTGGAAGGCTTTGCAGGTATTTTACACTTCTAAGTGTGACTGCATTTCATTTCTAAGCACAGAAAAAAGAAATGCTGAACTGGTCAGTAGCCATATGACAAGCGGGGCGAGATTTGGTATTTGGATGGGAGGACCTTGCTGACCCAGTTCCTCCTACCTGTCATGCTGGCCATGCTGCAGTCTTGAACTGGCGATGCAGACATTTCTGTATCTGAATCTATGGTCAATTTACAGTGGATGAAAAGGCTACCACTGACTCCAGCAGGCTTGAGTTGAGGTTTTACTCCTGCTTTGAGAGTTTTTCTGCTTTACAGATCTCAATGTACTGGTTGGTTGAGTTTGACTGAGAATAATCCGTGAGACAAATCCACTTTTCTTTTTTTTTTCCTTTCCTCCAAATGAAGCATCTAACAGTGTATAATCAATAATTATTTGATACCAAGTATAAATATAAGCAATATGAAACATGGTGTATGGTTCAACTGTAGTGTAGACGTAATCGTGTCATGCTGCCAAAATGGATTGCAAGAAATAGGAGGATAATTATGCTAAACAGCTTTCATCTAAAGTACCTGAACCCACAAGATCTGAATTTGAAATCCCTCAAGATGAAAATCCCATTTATACCTAGGAGCAGGACCTGTCATTTCTCAGTGCAGACTAAATATGGGAATTGCACATCCCACCACTATCTCAAGTGCAGTGTTTGTCAATAGTAGGTGCAGTCTGGTGTTAAATCTTTCCTCCGATTTGCTGCGTATTTTTGCTCTGTTTAACTCCTCTCTTGTGTCTTCACTTTCCTTAAGATTTTTCTCACTGCAACGTGGGGTAAAATTTCATAATGCAATGTAGTACACAAGTTCAACTGGAGATCATGCTTACTCAAGCTGTGGAAATGCAGGAAATCCCTATTTTGAATCTTGAACTAATAGTGGACTAATAGGTCACCATGGTGAACTAAGAAGATGGAGACAGAGCAAGTTCAACATTATGCCTAACACCAGTTTAGGTGGCCTATCTGTGTGTGATTGCACATGAGAATGAATTTTCGTGGGATAACATGATTCTTTCGCTTCCCACATCTACTTCCCTCCGTCCATGTTGCTTCCTGAGCAGCAGTGTGTACCTGGAGCCATGGATTGTTGTAAATTTGGCAATTTCTCTTTGGAATTCAAAGTTCCTGTGAGAGCAGCATGTTTACACACTTCTCATTGCTGAGGGGTTTCTCGATAACCTTCTGGTGCTGATAAGAAGGCTCTGAATTGTTTATCGAGACAGATAAGTGAGGGAATGTAGGATACCCTTTCAGTGTACAAAATCTTGATAAATTAAGGGCAATTGAGATCAGTTTGCCTCCTATCTTGTACTTTTACATGAGGCTGCAACCATTGCTTCTCTGCTTCCCTATATAGTCAGTCACATTTTTGCTGGAAACATCCTTGGCCAGTGCAGACAGGATTGCTGGGTTTGGCTTAGCTCCCTTCAGAAAACAGCAGCAATAGATCCCAATGCCTTCTAGCTACAGGGAAGACCAAACCTCAGATGTACTTCGATGCTGCTGGATGCTCCACCACCCCTTTGGCAAATGCCACCAGCTGCCAAAGCAAATGAGTGCCGAACTATGAGCAGAGATGAGCGGAGTCTCCTTTGGGGTAGTCCTGAAGGTGGTAATATGGGATGAAAGTGAGGAATGAAAAATTGACGTTTCACTTTGGAAAAAAATGCTTTCTAGTGCTGCAACAGGCTTTTCTGCTTTTTGTGGCAGGAAGGAGGAAAAAAAAATAAAACTTCCATACATTTCACTGATGTTTCTTCATAGTGTCCTCTTGATGGATTTGCAATCCTCTGGTGTTTGCTTGTGCCTACTAGGCAGTTCTGCTTTTCATCCTGGTCATGCAGCTGCAGCCCAGCTGCAGCCATGCTGCAGGTGCAGAGAGGGTCCACACACATGTGATCTTGCTTTCGGAAATCACCTCGGTTTCCAATGGAAAACTGATGGCTATGCAAGGAGTGACAACATGGGCAGAATGAGGCAGAGCTTAGTGGAGGTGTTCCTGTTCCTTCTCTAGTTTCTCACTTTCTTTAAAGACAAACTTACCTAATGTTCTGGGGCCACCTCAGTCTGCTTTGTGTTAACTGGGTTGGTAGAGATGTTGATTCGTAAGGTCGTGGTGCCATTAAGTCATTTCCATATTGGACATGGTGTTCAGAATACTATTAAATGGTGCATGTGTTTATCCTGAAGTTTTTAACAGAAAGTCAGAATTGCTGTCGTGGTCACCATTAAAGAGCTGTGAATGATTTTGATAGGGAAGATGCATATGTTCTCATCAGTGAACTACAAAAGGAGTTGCCTATAAAATTATTTACCTGTTTTTTTTTTTATCACTGCAGATCAAAAATTTACCAGTGCTCTTGTTCTTCCACAATGGAGGCAGTGACGATGATGAGACAGGAAAAGCCACCATAGATGGATCATACCTAGCTGCAATCAGTAACATCATTGTTGTGATAGCAAACTACCGGGTCGGTGTTTTTGGCTTTCTTAGTACAAGTAAGTCACAGATTTCCAGAACAAACACAATTATGGGCTAAGTTACATTTTGAAATGTTTCTGTTTTCCAAATATGTTAGTTTTGATTCTTTAGAAACCTGCACTTTTCACGGATTACTCACCACCTGAGGCCCATCACCACCAGATCCATCTCACCTGAAAGAGTTCTGGTCAAGTTATATTTTTCATGTTTGCAATTACTAGACCAACATACATTGTCATGTGTTTCCTATGAATATTTGTTGTTAGTGACACTGCCTGAGCTTAACCTACTATGAAATCATAGCTGCAGCTGTTTGCTGTTATTTTTCGTCTCTGTTGCCCAGTTTTGTTTGAGTTTGATTTCCAGCAAAGTCAGTTTCTCATTCAAGACCTAGAGAATGAGCAGTGAAAACTCCTTATTCACTTAGATATAGAATTGGTAATAGATATATTTGGGGAAAAAATTGCTGTTTTCATCTTTCTGCAAACCGGATGCTTATGAAAGTGATATTATGGCTTCATTTTGGCTAGAGCCAAATGCGGTGTGGATACATGCTTGCTTTGCAGTCTTCCATTACGCAGCACTGCCCACGCATTACCCACTGACCTCCTTCAACCCTGTGAATCTTACCTGGGTTCCTTCCTAAATGGAAACTGCTAGCTTGGCTGAATCTTATACACCATTATTTATAGTTTATAGATCAGGATGAACTTTCCAACCTCATTTTTGTGGGAAAGTCAAGGCATGAGGATTCACTGTATGTAGCTGCAAAGGTAGAGATGGTTGGTTTCAGCAGCTTTGAGCAGTGTGTTGGGAAGGAAGAACTCAGGGACCTTCTCCTTTTTTGCACTGCTGAGCTGAGGCCAGGGACAACTGCATGTTTCCTGGCCTCCTCTCCAGTATTGTCTGTATGCATTTGGGAAAGTCCTGCTGCTTCAAAGGGAACTGGAGGAAGTTGGAAAATTCTTTGCAAGAGACATTGGAGCAGGATAGAACATCACATTAATGGGAAACCCTAAAAAGTCTTTCAGTGCCACACTCCTGTCTCAAAGGAAATCCTTGCTGATACTCTAGAGACATTTTCTTTCTTGCTGAAAGACTTGGTCCTTTGGAAATTGATAGGAATTTTGTCATCACTTTTGAAGGGAGCAGTATTTGATCCTTGGGATCATGGGTGCATTGGGCCCAGGAAGGGTAAAGACCCTGAAGTTGCAAAGGAGGATTATGATTCCACAAGCAATATCAATTTCATTGCCCAGCCAAGCGAAGTGTTGAATCCTTGAATGTTGAATTGTCATTAATTAAAAGAATATGTAAACAAAGGGGTTAAATAGAGAATTTTGTGGAGGAACGGTAGTGAAACCAACTTTTCCTGCAGTTGTTTCAGTAACTCATGTTGACAGGCCTTTTGCAGGGAGTGAAAGTTCCAGTGAAGGTATTGGATGTCTTATTTTGCTGTCATCCACTGAAGTTGCAAAGTAGGACATTTTCTGGCACCCACAAAAAGTTAAGGGGACTTGCTAGTTATTTGGGTGGCAAGAGTATAGAGAAGACAGCCACATTGTTAGGCTTGATTCTTCTAAGAGTGTACATGAAAACATATGAAAGAATGCTTAAATTCATGTACTTTTATTCCTCTTCAGTTTAGGAATAAAAGAAATATGTATGCTTGATGTTATTTGCTTCATTCTGAGCAGCGGTTCCTTTTCATTCTCCTTTTGTCCTCAAAAATGTGATCTATTTCTACAAAAGTCTGCTTCTGACATTTATATCCAGGGCCATTACCCAAGTAGTACAAAAGATTTCTGGCAGACATGTACCTTTTGGTCTAACAAATATGAATGTCAGTCCATGCATCTTTTCCCTAATTTGGTACTTTATTCTGGCTCTAATTTTTGCCAGGACAAAAGAAACTGGTTATATTTCCCTCCTCTGTCTTGCTGTTCAGTGTACTGGTAGCAAGGCAGATCCTGTGGCTAGAGCATTTACACAGATTTCACTTCCTCCAGGGAGCTCTCATGCAGCTTGCAGCAAGTTCTTAAAATGAGTTTTCCTTTTCAGCAGTGCAGGGTAGATTTATTGCTGGATTGAGAGCCCTGGGGACTGGTCACAAAGTGCAGAACAAGCTCAATAAAAAGCAAGGCAGGGAAAGATTTTGCTCTTCACCTGATCAGCTGCAACTGTGGCAGTGGGTTAAAGTTTCCAGGCCTGATTAATTCTTGGCTGTGCTGCTGGAAGGACGGTTGTATCAGTGGTTATTGTAATGTGGATATCTTTAAGATCTGCAAGGCTGTCAATAACGTGGTCTCACCTATATTCCGTTCTGCTTCTTAGATGTGATACCTCAGTAGTTCATTACTGT